CTTCCCTTGGGTTGGCCAACCTGAGGGTCATCTTTATTTTAACCCCCCCCCCCCCGGGCCAGTGCTTCTCTAAGTGTTGGTCTGAATCGAGCTGCCTGCGGGGCCACCTCGGGGAAACTTGAGGGTTGGTTTTACTCGTAGCTAGTCTCATCCGGTGTGCCCTGAGAACGAGATACGTGCGACTCCTATCAGGATTGTCAGCACATCAGGCAACTTTGCTGGTCTTGTTTTACCATTGTCTAAATGTCTTGTAACCGGGATTCCGAGACTGATCGGGTCTTTCCGGGAGAAGGAATATCCTCCGTTGACCGTGAGAGCTTGTGATGGGCTAAGTTGGGACACCCCTGCAGGGTATAAACTTTTGAGAGCTGTGCCCGCAGTTATGTGGTAGATGGGAATTTGTTAATATCCAGTTGTAGAGAACTTGACACTTGACTTAATTAAAATACATCATCCGCGTGTGTAACCGTGATGGTCTCTTATCGGCGGAGTCCGAAAAGTGAACACGGTCTTGTGTTATGCTTGAACGTAAGTAGTTTCAGGATCACTTCTTGATCACTTCTAACTTCTCGACCGTTGCGTTGCTTCTCTTCTCGCTCTTATTTGCGTATTTTAGCCACCATATTTGCTTAGTGCTTGCTGCAGCTCCACCTCATTACCCTATCCTACCCATAACTTTAAATAGTCTTGATCTCGCGGGTGTGAGATTGCCGAGTCCTCGTGACTCACGGATACTTCCAAACAGTTGCAGGTGCCGATGATACCAATGTAGGTGACGCAACCGAACTCAAGTGGGAGCTCGATGAAGATCTTGGTCGTTGTTATGTGTCTTTTCCGGTTGATCAGTAGTGGTGCCTAGTTGGGACGATCGGGGATCTAACACTTGGGGTTATCTTCTTTTATTTTGGTTTCATAGTCGGACCTTGATTGTACTCTGGATGATGTATGTTTACTTGTTATTTGTGTGAAGTGGCGATTGTAAGACAACTCTTTATCCCTTTCTTATTTAGTACATGGGATTGTGTGAAGATTACCCCTCTTGCGACAAAACTACCATGCGGCTATGCCTCTAAGTCGTGCCCTGACACGTGGGAGATATAGCCGCATTGTGGGTGTTACAAGTTGGTAATCAGAGCCATCCCCGACTTAGGAGCCCCCTGCTTGATCGAATCACTGACGTTGTTGAGTCTAGAACAAAATGTTTTGAGTCCTAGGATTATATATATCGGAGAGTAGGATTCTTTTTACTCCTTAGTCCCTTCGTCGCTCTGATGAGGCCTCCCGACGTAGAAGTTTTGACTCTCCTCTCCTCAAATTTCATGAAAAAATTAGGATCACGCGAGTATCTTGGAATCGTTTCGATAGTCTTGTGACGAGAACATTGTTCTTGGTGCCTCCTGACATTTAGGGGTTGTGGCAGTGTCCCGGGGAGTTGAGCTTCGAGGTGTTGTCGTTACAATTTTATCGTTGCAGTTCTGAAATACCTGAGTTCGCCGACACCGAAAATCTCTTTTTATGCAGTTGTTGGTGACATAACCTCGACGCTACCCAGTACTGGGGCGGGAGTTCAAGAGTATTGCCATAACTCGTATAACAGATGCTTTTCGAAGGTTGAGGTACACGATTTCCGAAGGTTTCTTGGTTATGTGTTGACGGATGGATACAACTGGATGTAGGGATTGTTAGTTTGGGTGAGATATTATGCTTCCCCTATATCCCCAACACCTGATTGCATAATCAGAAAGTTTCGGGAGTTTATAAGTGGGAATTTGTTCTGATTAATTAATCACCATGTAAGCAACTAATTGTGATTTCATTTTCTGACTCTGTTCCTAGGCAATAACAAATTTTATTTACCAATTTATGCGCACTATATATTCTTCTGCCATGTTATGAATAAATAATACCTTTCCACCTTTTAAGTAGGATATGTTAGATGCATAGTGAATGATCTGTATGTTACTAAGTGTACCAAATTTCACTGGAAGTACTTGAAGCATGTCATAAACTTTGTTGATAATCTGACAGAGATAGCACAACGTATGAACGCTGGATTTTGGATGGGATTAATTATACCTATGGTGCACACATTGAACAAGACCAAATGTGTGCACAAAACGCTGGTAAAAAGTCTTATTTTAATGTTGATGCTCATAAACTATATATATTTTCAACGATATGTTACAATTGGTTTTTATTCTACATTTCAACATAAATTTCCCGCTGTAGCAGTTCCTAGATCGATTTCTCGGCGTGGTCGAATCACACTTGTGCCTGCTAATAACGCCAAAGTGATTGCAAGGTACTGCATTCCCCACAGAAATTGAACCATTCAAATTAACAAGTTCTCGCTTATCGTCGCAATGCATCCATATTAAAAAAATTAGAGACACTGTTCTACTCATGCTCTACCAAGGCACGGGAGGGCTCTTCCTTTTCATTGACGAGATGTCGAATCGCCGTGATCAAGCTGCTTCCAGCGGATAGTTGTGGTTGTTGACCCTCACCCTCTTAAAATGTGCTAGCTGTTACTATATATGTTAAGTATGTATATATGGACTATATGGTTGTTGGCTCTTAGCCTCTTAAAATGTGATAGTTGTTACTATGTTAAGTATGTAGATATGGACTATGGTTGTCAAAATCGTGTTACAAAAATTCTCCTTTTGTCGAATAGTGTAACCACTATATATATGTACTCAAATGTTGTTACCTAAGTTCTTAAATTTTCATGGAAAGTATTAGTATCATACACATTTCATTGAGTTTAAGCGTGTGCCCGATGTCCAGAAGGCATTTGCATATTAACTGTCCATATTGCAAATTCACTCATATGTTAACATAAGGAAACATATGTGTAACTTACTGATCATCGCACACGAGTACTCCTAGACGCATCGTATGCGATACTCCTAGCCACCGCAAGCAACTAGTTTGCATTTTCCAAAGTTTTTTGTACACACAGAATCGCACACGAACTAACTGTATTAACCGTCTGTGTTGTAATTTTTCATCGCGAACAGTTCATCCGAGTCGGCTGTTTGCCATGTATCACACACATCTTGTTTACACGACTCGTTTGTGTTCTTTTGGCTCATCATAAATAGTTCATCCATGTAAACTGTATATCGCATATCACACACATCTTGTTAAGTTGAACCGTTTCTGTTGTGTTCCCTAATCGAAAACAGTTTGTCTGAGTGAACCGTATGCCGTATATTGCACACACATTGATATGGCTACTCGTTTCTATTGTTCTGCCTCATCGCAAACAGTTCGAATAGATTAACCGTGTGCCCTACATCGCATACGCGGCTAAAGTCTGAACCATGTTTGATGGCTCCGCCATCGTAAACGTTTTGCACCTTTTTGACAGTTTTTTTACAGCACCATTTATGATTAATGCATCACACACAGTTTCGTCAAAGGGTCTTTGATCGTACTGTCGCGTTAGTAGCATCCTACAGTAGCGCGGGTTGGCATTCATGACCTTGAGGTGAAGAATAGGGCCCTCCTCGGTAAATGGTTGTTTAATTTATTGACGAAAGATGGTGTATGGCAAACCCTACTAAGGAGAAAATATGTGGGCTCAAAGGTGGTTCCCAAGTATAGTGGAAGTCTGGGGACTCCTATTTTTGGGCGGGAGTAATGGCAACGAAGAAATATTTCTTCCACTATGGTTCCTTCTCGATTAAGAATGGCTCGGAAATTATATTCTGGGAGGATAAGTAGCTAGGTAATGCAACACTCCGGGAACAATATCCAACTCTATACAACTGTGCATCATAAGGATGATACTAGGTTTTGGAATCATTTCGGTCAAATGTGACGTTCAGAAAAGATTTAATTGGACCTAGACTCCAATCATGGAACATGCTGGATAATTGGACCTAGACTCCAATCATGGAACATACTACTCCAGCGATTAGCCACGGTATAGTTGTCACAAGGATCCGATGTATTTTGTTGGAACCTACATGGGAATGGGAAATCCTTAGTGGATTCTATGTATAGAGCTTTGATCCACTCTGACGTGTCAGTTGATCATAACAAGAAGATTGAAAGATGAAGATACCTCTTAAGAATAAAATCTTTGCATGGTATCTTCATCGCGGAGTTATTCTTACAAAAGACAACCTTATTAAGAGGAATTAGCATGAAAGTACACAATGTGTCTTTTGTCCTCATTATGAGACAATAAAACATTTATTCTTCCAATATAAATTGACTCATTCTATATGGCCAGTCATCCAAATAGCTTAGGGCTTGTATCTTCCTTAAAGTGTTGCTAATATATTTGACAACTAGCTACATGGGATTGATCACAAGTTTAAAATTCTTCCCACTGCGGGAGCGCTTGTCGTGATTTGGTCGTTTTGGCTATGTAGGAATGATAAAGTTTTTAACGATAAAAATACTTCTCTTATGCATGTTATCTACATATGTATTGGGATTTTTCGTTTATGGTCCTTTCTACAATGAATGAAAAATCGAGACCTATTTACGGAAGTGTATACACGATTGGAGGCTACGGCGAGGATACTTTTACCCACGTGGGTGGTAGCATGATCTTAGGATTTGGCCACCTTCAGTTTAGGCATTATACAGATCATTCATTTTTCCTTGTATATCGCCTTCTGCTTTTATTTTGGCTTGGTGTAAGGACTTTGTTGGCCCCTTCTCGGAAAAAAAAAGAAACAACCCTAGCGTGAGGATTTTTTTCTCTAGCCTTCGGAATTTTTATGAGAAAATCCTTGCGTGGAACTCCTCTCAATCTCAACCTCATGGGCTTAAAGGTCCATTATCTGGTCGAGCCCATCCACAGCGGAACGAGCCCCTGCCAAGCCCGTCTCTCTCCCCTTGGCACACACTTCTCCACCGGCGACGCCCGCAGCCGCACCCCTCGCCTTTCCGCCGCCGCCCCGCCGCCTCCAATTTCTCTCCGGTAGGAGAACACTGGATCCCCCACGAGTAAAGCACCAGAGTAAGAAGCAATAGAGATGCCACCCGTCATGGCAGGTAGGACGAACACAAACCCTGCTTCCTCCTCACGCCGACTTGGCTGTGCCCTTCCTCTTCCCCTCCCGCTTCCGCTGTGGTACTCACTGCACTTGTGCGTGCGCCTGCGCTTCCGTGTATGGCAATTGGCATGGAAGACTACGAGCAGGAACAGGAGATGGAGTTGGAGGCCCTGCAGGCCATCCTCATGGACGACATCAAGGGTTCTTCTTTTCCTAATTTACTTGCTTCTTTGATTTCTGTAGCTCGGCCTTGCTATTCCTCGCCAAACCTAACCACCGTGGTTTACGGGATTTGATGCAGAGATCGACCCCAGCGAAAGCGGGATCGACACCAACTCCCGCTGCTTCGAGATCCTGCTATCCCCTCAGGTACTTGCAGGGAATGCTTCCGTTGTGTACACCATTTGTAGCACGCGATTGAGTTCTCCCTAGGCAACAACGATGAACATCGTGTGCTTAACCTACTTGAAATTGCGGCGCTAGTTATGTTTACAAATTTATTTCGATTGGTTTGATGCAATTAGTGATTTCTCCCTGCTTTATATTGACTAGGATGATGATTTCGACGAGGCAGCTCATGTACCAGGTAAATTGATTTTGTACACAATTCTATTGTTTTTAGGAAAACAAATAAGCTTGCATACATTCCGGAATGCTGGGCTCATGTCATTGTGTTATCTGGGACTTATTTGCAGTTCAAATGGCTCTGGTTTTTGCACACACTGAGAAGTACCCAGATGAGCCTCCACTTGTGAATATCAAAAGGTTGTGTTATTTTACTTAGAACTTGATGATCCAGCATGGCTTGAAGCAAGCATTTTGTCTATGGATACTCTTGCTTTTGGTGCAAGCCGTGTGCTTATTGTTTTCTAAAGCTTATAGTTGAATTGCAAACAACATCTGCAGTGTACGGGGTATTAAACCAGACGACCTCACATCCTTGAAAGAAAAGCTTGACCAAGAGGTATGTAAGACTTGGTTTTGGCTCCAATCCCGTGTTCAGTTCACATAGCTAAAATCGTCGAAGTGTGCAACTGAAGCTGAACTTATTTCAAGTTAAATAATTGGAACGAACCAAATAACCATGGACAGTTATTTTATTATTATTATTCACGGGGTGGGGGTATCTGTTTTTTTTTCTTTTGAAAAGCTAGCAGGAGCTCTGCCATTCAATTAAGAGTGCCAATTAAATACAGGAGCTGAGATTTTAATGGAAAACACCTGGAGTAACCATGAGTCCATGACACCTTGTGTGGACTATTCCCCACCAATGTTTTTATGGCGTAATGCGTTTTATGACGACCGACCCCCTTCATAACATTATAACGCTTATGGCGTATGGTGTGGCGACATCATAGACACAACCTTATGGCGAATGATAACAAATTAAATCACAACTTCATAGACATAACCTAACTATATAATATGTATGACAACAAACTAAAGCACCAAATGAGCTGTACATGACTACATCTACATGCATACCTCGTGGTTGCCCAAGTAGTACATGCAGTCAGGCAGTACATGTACATCACAGGTACATAGAAACATACCTCTACACTCAAAACTGAACACTACATATAGCAACAGCGCAACAGGCAGTCGACAGTACATGTACATCACATATTCAGAAATTAGAACAGAGAGGACAGATACAGAAGAAACAGAGCACTGGCATGGGGAGGAAGAGCAAGGAGAAGAAGAGGGGGAGGGGGGAGCTGGGGAGATACACTGATGGTCACCTGATGAACGTAGGAGAGGAGCAGTGGTGCTGGATTGGAGCAGAGGCGCTGCCCTACAGCTGGATCTGGAGGGGTAAGGGGCTGGCGGAAGGAGGGGAAAGGGGGTGGTGGGAGGAGGGAAGAGGGAAGAGGGGGTGGCGGGTGGAGGGAAAATGGCTCGCAGGGCTGGAGGGGAGGTGGTGCGGAGGCGGAGTTTGCTGTCGTTGGCCGTTCGCCGGAGAGGACGAGGTCGAGACTCGAGGTATGCAACGATTTCAACCTGCCATGTCCGCTCTCGCTCTCGCTCTGCCTCTGGAGTCTGGAAAGCTTTTTCCTTCCCGCCGCTGGCTAATTGTTCAAGCGCGCGCGCCAATTTCTCCCGCCGCTGGCTGCTGTTCCCGCACGCACGAGCTCACCTAGTCCATGGCGTCCAATTTCTGGTTTGGCGACCAAAAACACATCATATGAACGACCTACGGATGCCACGCGTGTATGGCGGACACCAACGGCCAAACATATCGCGAGCCTGGACGCTTCAGGCTACGACCGCGCCACACTGTTATATCGTCGATATAGCGACGATATAAGGACGCGATAAGAACACTGTTCCCCACATCATAACCACTGTGGTTGGCAAACTTGCACCAACGTTGCTTACTCTTGTCTAGCTAACCACAAGAACAACACCCATAGGGCGCTTAGCGACCCACAATAACCCGAGCTGACAACAGCACCCACAGCCCATAGAGACTCCAAACAACAAAACAGCCAAGGAAACCCCCACCGCAGAAAACTGGTTCGTTCTCCCTCTTGAGCCACAATGCATGTCATTTTATAAAAATGCTAGTCAAATAATTTTATGTTTGTGAGTATAGAGAAAAATACCAACATCTAGAACACCACATTGGTATTACTAGATGTATCATTAAATATAATTTATGAATTACTTACTTACTTACGAAGCCTTTTATCCCAAACAAGTTGGGGTAGGCTAGATATGAAACCCTTTCACGAGGACTTCCCAGGAGGTCACCCATCCTAGTACTACTCTCGCCCAAATGGGTTTCATACCCAAAAGACTGGCTAGTTTTTACGTTGGCTCGCCAAGCCTATCACAACCCTTAAATATAATTTCTGAATATTATACTTAATTAATGAGAAAGCATGTATTCATAGAAGTTCAATCACCAAAGTTTCATTTTGAAGACCTTGTCAATATTCACAACAACCCATGTTTTGACCCAGATGTAGTATTCTAGGATTCGCCAAAAGGTCATTGAAATTCAATATAGTGTGCTCAAATACCAACACAACTCATTAGAAGTGTATTATTGGTTGTGAGGTATATACATCCCCCTCATTCACCTGATATGTCTTCTCATTTATGTGCAACCTTCCAATCATTTAGGCAACTGAGAATCTTGGTATGGCTATGATTTATACTCTTCTCGACTCGGCTAAAGAATGGTTAACTGAAAAATATGGTCAAAATGCTGGAGATGAGGAACCTGACGAAACTGAAGAACCAGCAGAGGAGGTATTCTTAGCTTTAGTTTCTTCTAATTTTGTATGTTCTTTGCAATGTACTCCCTCCGTTCCGAATTACTTGTCTTGGATTTGTCTAGATACGGATGTATCTAGACTCATTTTAGTGCTAGATACCTCCGTATCTAGACAAATCTAAGACAAGTAATTTGGAACGGAGGGAGTATCTGTATAACCTGGGTTCAGCCATTGCTGTCAAACTGGCATGTGCAAGGGTTGCATATATCACCATACAGAATAAGTGGACAGATGATGAAATAAAGCTGTGTATTTA